TGTGTTCGGAGACGTGGGAGCTGTGGCTGGAGCCTCTCTTGACCCGCAAGGGATGCTAGGGGGTTGCAAGTGGAGAACTTTAAAACTGGGAGCTGAAAAATAGCTCACCCGCTCATAACTGTCTTGCACAATATGTCCAGAAAAGCGAGGAAATGTTATAAAAATGGAGAGGATTCTGGAAATGCTCAGTTCTGCTGCCATCAAAACTGTTTTCTTTTTGGGGGCTTAGTTTTGCATGTTGTCTACATTTCTTAATGGTTTAAAAATTTAACGTGTTAGTAGGGAACTGATCTGGCAACATCTTGCTCTTTTTTCTTTTACAAAGACATGATTGCAGGTTCACTTATTATCTGTGTTTAACACTGCTGTCTGTTTATTTTTAAGGAACTGATTGATCATAGCTGTTCCTAAATGTTCTAGTAACAATATGAGAAAAGCCATTGATGTGATGACCCTGAATTCCAAACAAGCAATCATTCAGCTCTGTATTTAAACAGGTTTTGGGGAGGGAAATCAGACTGTTACCAATGTGACCCATCAAATCAATTGGTAAGAAATTTCTGTGAAGATTAGCAGAGTTCCCTTTTGGGGGTATAGAGGACTTCAAAATCCATAACTCCATCAATAGGATCTGCCCTTGGAAAGGACACAGTGCTGGTAGCAGCTTGTGCATTTGTACGCCGCATCCGCTGTTCCCATGTTTGGGACATGAGATGTGTGTCCTTTTGGGATGGAGGAAAAGTCAGCGTGCAGTTGTGATGCACAGAGCTCAGTCCAAATGTGCAGACCTCAGAAGCAAGAAGAGCTAAAAAAGGAGCATGTCATGGTGGTTAGAGTAATTTACATCCTAGGAACGTGTAGGGTTGACTTTTGGCTTGCATGACCGACCATAAGCTTATTCCTGCCAGCTTATTCCCAATGAATAGTGGGTAAATGGGGACACAATCCCTGTACATCCTGGGGCACGTGCTGTGTATGAACAGCATGGAAAACAGAGATACCTTCAGTGGGGAATCCCACTAAAATGCATCCCTGAAATCTTCTGTAGGTGAGGAGGAGGATATTCACATACCGACTGCTCTATTCATCCAGGAGAGTAATCCCCTTCACAAGATAGCCTTGGGACACCACACCGTTCTCATTTCACTTCTCATCTCAGCGGATTGCTCTGCCTCTCTTTTGTGGGAATGCAGTTGCTTTCATCACGGTCTGGCTTGTGATAAGCCAGCCATAAATGGCTTGAAATTCGGGTTATTCAGATAAGCGTCCTAAATTGTAACTGTAGAAAGTTGAGCACGTAGCTGTTTCAGTTTGATCTGCAGTGGAAACTAATCCAAATTTAATTAGTGTATTGTTAAACAGATACAATCTTCCATAATCCCATAATATTTTACAACTACAATATGATTTCACATTTTAGAATATTTTAAATATTTTTTATAACTTCATCATTCTATAACAATCTTATATTTCTGTAGTTATTCCCATGTAGGAAAAGAAATGGCTCCTTCTGTACCTGTAACAGCATAAGGTGTAGTCTTCCTGGTATATACGTCCTTTACTAGTATAGCAATTTAAATATAAAAGTCCAAATAGATTATATTTTTTAACTTTCAAGTGGAGTTCAAGCATTTAGATTAGTGTCTCTGTTGCAGACTGCTCCCCAGACAAAATAATTAAGGTATTTTTCTTCTCTAACTGGGGGCAAAGTTGTTTCCTGGCCTTGAGATGTAGAAGAGACTGAAAGGCAATTGCACGTTGCGTTTTTCTTGATTATATCTGTAGCACGAGAAGGAACCTTTCAGCATATAATCCTTAAAATATTGATTTTGCAGAGACAGCCTGAGACTAGAAGGGATCATCTGTCATCAAACGGCTCCCGCAGCATCCTGGGGAGAGTTGTGGAGTTGCGTTGCAGGCTCGTTGGTCTCGCCTCTGGTTTCCCCCCTGCTTGCTGCAGGGATTTTGGGGTTGGGTTCGGAATAGCTTGTACATGCCAGTATTTCAGGGTCTTTTATTTTTCATATAATTATATTGCCTTTTAGCAGTATAATTGCCTTATGGCCTTTCGGGATGTGCCGGCATGAGGGAGACGCCGTTGAAAGAAGAGTCGCGGCGGGTGCTGGAGCTGCTGGGTGTGGAGCTCCTCCGTAAACCAAGTCACTTCTTTACATGTTCAAATAGAGACTGACAAATAGAGCTAAGTCCAAGTGCTCGTTTTTATTAGCCAGACTATTTTTTCTCCTTTATAAATGCTGATATTCTAACTTAATACTGTATTTGGTGTATTAAAGAAATTCTGCAGCTGATTATAGCCTGTAAAATTAATACATTGAAGCTCCCAGTATTTCGGTTCATTGAGGTATAAATACTAGAACGTGGTGTACCGTATAGTTCAGCTGCTTCCTTGTTATATTTTTCTGAGCCTTTTTTTGCTTATTTTATTTCTGTGATATTTGAGACAAATAGTTTCCTGGTTTTGATTTCATCCTGGCATTTTCCAGCAGGCTATTTTTTAACAGTGTAACATTCAACAAGATGAATAACATTTTCTGTTTACTGTTTACATTAAAAAAAAGCAAACCTTCTGTTTAAAAAAAAAGTATTCCAGATGTCTCCAGGCAGTAGGAAATATATATAGTATACAGTCTAATAAAACAGCAAATATAGGAGAAGGATTAAAGTGACGTGTGTTAGCAAATGGTCTGAATTTAAACACTCGTCGACACCAGAACTTCATTTTAGGTGAGTGAAATTCACATGTGAAGTATTAAAATTTAACTTTATAAATTAATTTCCTTAGGACCAGGACGTTATGCATTTCCAAGTCATCTTTAAAACTTCCTTTTCCGTTTAATTTTGATAAGATTTTCTAAAATGGAATAAACATAAAAGCATTAAAAAATGTAAACCGTGAAAGCTAAATGCAAAGCAGATATATCAACAGCAGAAATATGAAAGCCAGACTTCTCATTCCTCAAGTGTTATATGGGGGGGGAAAGCCCCTCTTTGTATGTCTGTGTTCTGCTCAGCTGCCAGCTCCCTTCCCCGCAACAGCAATTGCAGACCTACCTGTTGTTGAAACCACTTTTTTCCGTCTTTAAATCCCAATCTCCTCATCCACATCCACTTGGGTGGGTAAATCCCTTAAATGATTTGAGAACGTGATCTAAAGAGCAGTGAAATGGATGGGAGTCCTTAACGTTGAAAGGTGGGCTCTTTATAGATGTGTATTGCAGGAGAGAGGTTTGGTGTCAGCAAGAGGAGAATGTCTTTGGTGGCCAGGATAATTTGGTACCAGCATCGCCTCTGGGTGAGAGGGAGGGAGGTGGAGTTGCTGTCTCTGGGGGCTGTTAAGGACAAACAAATTCTAGACAAGCATCTACCAGGTGAAATTTTGTCAGGAAATGGGCTAACTGACCCTTATTTCCAAGGACTTCTGCGTTGATTTTTAAGGCAATGGTTGTCAACATGCCAATCAAATGCTATTTACAGTAATCTGGTGTTGCTGAAAAGATGCAGAAACTGCTTATGTGATACTCTTGGAAATTCGGTTTTGTGGATCTGTTTTAAACTTTTGCCTGTATCAGCAATAGTGTGGCCAGCAGGACTAGGGAAGTGATTGTCCCCCTGGACTGGGCACTGGTGAGGCCACACTTCCAGTACTGTGTTCAGTTTTCGGCCCCTCACTACAAGAAAGACATGAAGATGCTGGAGCATGTCCAAAGAAGGGCAACGGAGCTGGTGAAGGGTCTAGAGCACAAGTCCAGTGAGGAGTGGCTAAGGGAACTGGACTTATTTAGCCTGGAGAAAAGGAGGCCAAAGGGAGACCTTACCATTCTCTGTAACTGCCTGAAAAGAGGTTGTAACAAGGTGGATGATGGTCTCTTCTCCCACATAACAAGCAATAGGATGAGAGGAATCAGCCTCAAGTTGTGCCAGGGGAGGTTTACGTTGTATATTAGGAAAAATTTCTTCACTGAAAGGCTTGTCAAGCATTGGAACAGGCTGCCTAGGGAAGTGGTTGAGTCACCATCCCTGGAGGTACTTAAAAGATGTGTAGATGTAGTGCTTAGGGACATGGCTTAGTGGTGGACTTGGCAGTGTTAGATTAAGGTTGGACTCGGTGATCTTCAAGGTCTATGATTCTATTCTGTTTAAGTAAACTTCTCTATCTTTTTTGTCCATCATTGTCTGTCATTCTCAGATGAAACTTTACAGCAGTGTTCTCAAGCTAGTTTCATTTGACTGAATGCAATCCCCTAAAATGTGAAATCAGGGGAATCACATAATTTTTCAGGGAAGTCATCTACAGAAAGATACCTGCTTAGGTTTGGAAAAGGTATCATCAGGGAATCACATAATTTTTCAGGGAAGTCATCTGAGAAGATACAGAAAGTTCAGGTGAACATGAGGAAGCCTGAGGGACAAGATTCTTGGAAAATGTGGCACAAAAATCATCATTCTTCTCAAATGTAGTGTCTAAGCTCTCAGCGTATTCAATGGTTGAGCATATACTGTTGATTGAGAGCGTGATCTCCCCTCTTGCCTGGCTTTTTTCCATTGATGTCAGTTGTACATGCTCATACCCTCAAGAGCACCCGCTAATAGGATTAAAGGCCTGATGCAAAAGGAAATCTTCATACAGCAAACTTTTACAAAAGCCCAATGTTTGACCAGTGGTACCTACAAGCTCAGATGTGTTATCTTACCCTGATTCTTCCCCTGTATTTTTCTCTTGGCTCTGAGGAAACAGTCATGTCACAGATGCAAGAGCTTCGGAAGTAGGCACTACAGAGGCAGCGCCCGCGGGAACTTTAAGAAACACCATAAAATTTCAATTTTCTTTGCTCTGTTTACAGCGCAGAAGGAAAGTAAACAAAACCCCAGCCTGAGTGTAATGGTTGCATTATGCATAAGCTCCGTGCCGTCCAGGAGAACCAGGGTATGTCTTTGCTGAGGCTGTCTTGTAATTCTTGTCATCTGCCTTCCTTCTCCAGACGTGGACGAGTGCTTGGTGGTGAATGGGGGCTGCCAGCAAGGCTGTGTCAACACGCACGGCTCCTTCCACTGCCAGTGCCGGGTGGGATACAGGCTCCATGCCGACGGACGCACCTGCATAGGTAATACAACATTAACAAGCCCTTCACATACTTCAAGACATGTTTTTCTCTGCTAACTCTGTCTTTGTCTAAATGTTTGTAGACTTCCTCAGCCTGAGTTTTGCCTAATTCACCAGGGATGTTGATATCCCTTCCAGTTCAAGTAGTTTGTGAGAATCCAGATGTTTCCAACGTGTTCTTCTTTTGAGAAAAAAAGCAGGACGGTGTCTCGTATTTCTGTGATGCAATATTGTGAAAACTTCTTTTGTCTTGCAGCAGGCATTAAAGAAATAGGGAGTCTTCATTTCCAGTGAAAATGTTTTTCCTATTCTGAGCAGTTTTCCTTTGTGTCACATCTGCCTGCATGTTCCAGTCATGCCCTGGGCTTGTCTGCCCCCGTTACTCTTCCTCTTACTTAGTCTTTTCGCCTGTTTTTTCTGAAGTGGTACAAACAATGGATAGTGAAATCTCCTGCCCATGGATGCCTGGCAGAATTCTTGCTCTTCCAACCAAGGAGTCCCAAAGCGCAGCTTGTGTTTTAAGTGATGAAGACAAAATAAAAGCTTGTGGTTGCCACCCTGAAGTTGGATTTAACCTTACAGTAGGTGACCACCTCTGTCGGACTACCCAGATTGGGAAGCTGTAGGCTTTCCCAAGTGGCGGCATGAGCAGAGGCAGGAGGACATCGTTAACTGGGTTGAGGTGTGAGATGATGAAGTAAAATCTCTGCGACTGTGCTACAGTGAGCAGAGCAGACAATCCTCTTGGGAAGATCAAGAGCAGAGGCCAAATTTGTGAATTACTGAGATACATTGAGAATGTGGTGCTAAGGACTGGTAGATAGAGAGGGAGCTCTAAAAGGCTAATGAAATATTTAAGTATGTTCTCAGAGGTTTTCTCTGGTTTTCAGAGAGTGCATGAAGAGAAGCCCTACCTTTCATCTCCTCAGCCTTTGCTGCGTGTTGAATTTTTTAGGTAAAACAGTAATGCAGAATTGTCTGCTTGGGTCTGTTTTACATTTTAGTGATCAGGCACAATGAGAAGGATGGATGGGGTGGGGTGAAAACTCTCCTCCAAGGCATATTACATGAATGTGTAGTTTTGTGCTTATCCTTTTAGCTCATGCAATGGGTGCCCATGCACATGAAGCTGAGAGTTTTGAGCAGTTTTCCTGAGATTCTGCTCATGCTGTGGCCTGATAATTAGGGTGCTATAGATTTGTGAAAGCTACGGTTGCTCAGAGGAATCCCATTCCAAGAAGTAGGCATTAGAAAACAGTAGGAAGAGGGTAGATATGATCCCAAAGGCTATACCTAGTTTTTCAGATTTGGTTAAAAAGCCACTGGTGTACAGTATGGAGTTACCCCATGTATGCTCATGTAAACGAGAGCACCATGGAGCTCAGCAGGTCAGCCCGTGACACAATGCCCATTTCTGTGCTCGTGGAAAGGACTAGCATCTCTGCCACCAGAAATAAACCCTGTGTTTCTCCGGTTGGACTCTGAGCCCTGAAACAGGAGAGACAGAGTTAATTCTGCATCTTGCTAAGAATAATAATAAAATATGCTGTCCTTATATTGCATTTAAATCGGTACAAAAGTCAAGTTGTGGAATTCTGCAAAAAGGATTAAAATGTTCTGTCATTTGGGAAGGAGAAAAGGATGTCATTTGTTTAAACTTTCAAGCCTGATTTTAGGTAATATGAGAAGAATAGTCAAGTATGGTTGGACCACATCTGCAGAATAGGTTCACTCATAGTTTGGTCATTGTCTCGGTTCTTGCACAAAGTCCCTTGGTTGTGCTTAATGTCACCCAAATATGTCATCAGTCATTTCTGGTATTATCAGAGCAATAAATTACTGACACGATAGAACACAAGACGTCCCAGTGCTCAAGCTGTGGGAATACTTTTTTTATTTAAAGAACTTACCCTTTTGGGTAAGGTTTACTGTATAGAGAGACTTCCAGTGCTTTGGTAATTAACTGCTCTTAAAAATACGGTGAAGTCTCAGTCTTTTCTTGATTCTCTTAGTTGGAGAAGGAATGGGTAAGGAAACACTAATGTGAGAGAAATAAAATTAATGTAAAAGCAGAACGGTTCATATTTAGGAAGAAACACTAGTGGTTTTCTGTGAATTAAAAGAAAAGAGAGAAATTCGTTTCAATCTGATCAGCTCTGACCAGGGAAGACCCAGAAATGAAAGATGTGATGTTTGTCTCTCTGAATAGTCTAATTTTCAGCTGTTGTGGAGAGATAATTTTACACAAAAAGGACTAAAGTAGCTTGGGGGTAGGGGGGAAAGGAACAAGAGAACTGAATAATAAATGGAAAAAGTAGATATTGTGGCAATTAAACGAATTTACCAGTGTAATATGTAAAACCTTCTGTGGACATAGAATAGTAAAGTTCTCTCATAGCACAAATAAGCAGGAAGCTCAGTTCGGAGTTGTCCTAGCTATGAGCATTATCAGAAAGCAAGTTTTCATTTCACAAATACAAGTATTCACAAGAAGTTATTAAAAATACTTAACGCAATGTTCAGTTCTGTTTGCAGTATCTCAGAAATCGTCAGAGGAGAAACAGAAATAAATCCTAAGATGAGAAACAGGATTAAGTTTCAGAGAGAACTGCTATCATGATAATGGATATCCACAATACGGAGCGGAGGATATTGAGTTCTGTTTCAGCTGTTTAGACAAGACACCAAAATAAATGGATACAATAAGCTCTCGTGCGTTGGAGCACAAGACAGTTACTAATTGATGAGGACAGAGAGAAGCATTTCATATAAACCAGTAATCCAGGAGTGCCTAGCGTCGGGATTTGGGCACTAACTGCTTGCACTGACCGTTGGGGATGGAGAGTTTGCCTCTTCTGCTGCACCAGTTTGTACATTCAGTTTGGAGCACTCATCATTTCAAGAAGTAAACCCAATAATGCACCTCTCTTTTGACCTAGTGCAGCTAAGCAGAAAATCTAGCGTTTCAAATGGGGCTTGCATTAGCAATAATATTTCTTCCGTGGATACATTAGAGGATGTAACGATCTCTCCCACATACTAGGAATAAAAAGGGATTATGCTCTGGAAGTGAGTTGTTTATGGAAGGTGATTATCTCAGCTGCAGAAATAAGAAACAAGCATCCCTTTAGAGAGGCTTTTAGATGAACCCAGCCCAGATTTCTGCTGTGTTCATTCTTTCCACGTCGTCTTTTTCTTTTTGGCAACCCTATGTTTCTGGGAGCAAAAGTGCCAAAATCACTTGAGGGGAAGCAGATTTTGCAGCCTAGATGGCTTGGAAGTCTCCCATACATAAGGAAGTGGATCTATCTTCTCGTAAGATATTCAGCCTACATCTGAAGAGTCAAAAACCTGGGATAAGCTACTTTCTCATGTGATTGCATGGAAGATTACTGAACTTCTGTCACAAGCTCTTTCCAGCGAGTCTGGTCCTCCTACCACATCGTCACAGTGTGTTTGAGATCCTGACTAACTGCTGGTGGTCCATCACTAGTATGAGCCTCAGAATACCATGGTTTCAAGAAATCTGTTTGGACTTTGTCACTTCTCCTGCTCTCATTAGAAACTTCTTGTAGTCTAAGGTAAACAGCCTCTAAAATGGGTTGTTCCGTGATAACTAGCCTGGGAAAGTGAAATACTTTCTTCTTTAATCTTTTGCTGATCTCTGATACTTTTTGTCATGCCAGTATCCTATCTTTTTCAATGCTCCTTTTCTATCTTAGCTTTTTGGTCCCACAAATTTTGTAAAATACTGAATTCATTTTTCGATATATGTGCCAGACTTCAACGTTCACTACAAATTAAGTAATTAGAACAACCAAAGGTAACACTGTCCAGTTTTTGGTTTTAATGCCTTCATTACATTAATGTAATGAATTTAACTTCATTAAAGTTTAACTTACTGGTGTCTGGAAAGTAGAAACTCGGACAGAGAACATGTTTATCGTAGTATCGAGCTGTGTTGTTGGACTGACATAAATTCATTGTCTTCACTGGATTTTATTTTTATCAACTCCTAGAAGTGAAATCAGAGTGCAGTCTTTAGAACCCTGGTGCCAGAGATTCATCTCTGTTAATCTTTGATGTCTGCTTTATGTAGAAAAGCTGTGATTTGAGATGTAGGGTTTTATGGAGACCTTCACACACTAAGGCTCTTAATAGAGGAAATAACAAAGAAAATATCTCTACAAATCTATAGTCTGTGTTTTTCCACATGAATAAAAACTCAGTATGTCTGAAGTTACATTTGATAAGGTTGGACTTAAGGTGGTGGAAAACACAGACTTGTAGAGACCGCATGTTCTAACCCTGTGGTTGCTACATATACCTACAACTATGGCTTTATACTCAGGGTTTTTTATAAAAATATAAACATGATTATAAAAAATAATTACTTGAGAAACGTATATTTCTCAGCCATCAGCAGATCCTTGTCTTTCCTGTGTGATGTCTCCCGCTGCCTTCCCTGGGATGCTGCCTCCCTCGCTCAGCATCGCCAAGCGTTGTTCCCTGAGAGTGGGAGCCGGGCCCATAGAATCATAGAATGGTTTGGATTGGAAGGGACCTCAAAGATCATGTAGTTCCAACCCCCCTGCCATGGGCAGGGACACCTTCCACTACACCAGCTTGCTCAAAGCTTCGTCCAACCTGGCCATCCAACCATGTCACTGTGGCTGACCAGTGGGACTGGTTTTCTACCAGACTTGATGAGGAAGTCTTTGACAGTGGAGGGCATGCCGTGTTTCTGCCTGAGCCCCACACAGGTACTCAGACCTCCAGCTGCGAGCCCCTTTCTGAGAGGTGGAATTAGACTTGCAATGTACCAAATCTCTCCCTTTTTCTAATCGAAGATGCGTTGCTGGTGTCTGGCAGCAGAAGCACAATTCATCCTCTTCCTTCTCCGGTGGCATTTCTCATTCAGTCTGGCACCTTCTCACGTAGCTGCAGCAGCAGGCATGATCAACCTGGCCATGGCTGCTCCAGAGCCATCCCTAACTCCCCGTCCACGGCAGAGCCCCGTGCTGGGCCAGGGTGTGCGACCCCACTGGCACAAGCTCTTGGCACTGGAGTTCCTTGCTGTCCCCTTCTGGCTTCGAAGCCTCTACAATTCTGGGTACGGCAGGCTGCTTCTCATCTCCCCTTACATCCAAATTGGCTTTTGTCCAGAAAAGGAGAGAGAAAATGGCACTTTTAAAAATCGAGATGTATATGCTGTCGCTTGGAGCCGATTTAAGGCGTTTTTTTCATCTTCTGAAATGTTTTCATCTTATTTGAATATTCTTGCTGAAAAACAGGGCTTTGGATACAAATGTGCAGCAAGCAGGAAGCTTTGAGCATATCGGGTCTGCTGTTTCCCGTGTAGAAATGGAGCTGCTTTCAAGTCACATCGCTGACCAGGCGGGAGGTTTGCAGACACAAGTGGAGATCAGAAGCCAGGGTCAGGTCCAGCGAGCAGCGAGGCATCTCCTGGCTACTGCTGTGTGTGCATCCACGATAATGTCCAAAGTTGCTTTTCTTTTTGTCTTTTTAACGCGTATTTGACTGCACAAACTAAGTCTTTGGTAATTGGTAGCATAGGGTGAAATGCATCCTACAGCAGCTTTTGTGACTAATGTTTTCTTAATGTCTATGACAGATAAAAGAATTAATATGAATATTCCTAAAATGAATATCAAAGCTCTTTGCTGATTTCACTGGGTCCGGAGTTTCATACCTTCCACGAAGGACCGAATAATCTTCCCAGCTACTCCTGGAGAACATAATACATCCCTGCTGTTAAAATATATATAGATGCGGTCCTGCACACGCTCACACTTAAATACGTACGGCACAACAACAGGTTCAAACAATCCATCTCGTTTTTATAGGCAGCGTGCGAATAGGTGTGGGTGTGTGTTAACATATTTTGGCAGGAGGAGAAATGTTCCTCCAGAGGCTGGGGATATATGTTGAACAAAAAAAGAATATTAATTTGCTTGGGTAAAAGAAGCAGCATCTTTAGAGATGTACTAAAGGGCCTCTTGTTCCTTGTGGTTTACTTTGTAAGTCCGTTCTGCGGAGCTTGTGACTCCTGTTGTTTGCAGCTTCCTATGCATGAGGCTGAGGAAATAAACCTGAAAGACAATCTCTTTTTTTTTTTTTTTTTTAAATAAATGATAGCAGGGACAGAAAAAAAATAACGAGCAAGTGCCAGTGGGGCTGCTCGGTTTTCCCTCCTTACCTCGGTGGATTCTCGAGTGCTTTGCTGCTGTCAGATCAAAGGGTGGCTGCACTTCAGTCAGCATCGCAGCTCTTAGATCTGCCTTGCCTCTCGCTGGAATCGGGGGCTTTCGCCGAGGTGGGACGCTGTGTCAGACAAGCGCGGTGAATGCAAAGGGGAGGAATCGCGCAGGGGTTGGGGACAGGTGCGTTTCTGACAGCTGTTCGCCGAGGCGCTCTGTGTTTTTACTGTCGTTTATGTATTTAAAATCGGAGATAAGTTTCTTAGGTTGTCGACATGCATTCCTTCAATGCTTCCTTGGCTCCAGCCGTCAATTCCTGCAGCGTTAACAAGGGGGGCTGCGAGCAGGAGTGCGTTCAGCTCGGTGAAGACCGATACAAGTGCCAGTGCCAGCCGGGCTACCAGCTGAAGACGGATGCCAAATCCTGTGAAGGTAGGTCCTGTGCTACCTGCCTGGAGACACACATCAAAGGCGATTTAAAAGACCCCAGGGTAGTGCTTCGGGTCACTGTTTTAATTCTTATTTCACCCTGCTTGACAAAAGCAGCTCTAGGAATCGCTTATTAAGAGGATTAAAACAACATGTGTTTGAGGTGTGAAGTTCACGTCGGTTCACATCTTCAAACAAGGTTTTGGCCTCATAGACCTCTGACTGTATGTTGCACGCTGACAATGATGGCATAGGTTAGGAACTTAAGCATGGATTAATTCTAGCATTTTATTACTCATCAGGCTGTATATAGACTTGGCCTGTATACCATGTTTTATTAGTGAATCATAGAATGATTCTATGATTCTATAATTCATGTTTTATTCTACATAAAGCCTTTCCTTTATCTGCTTTTGGCTTAAGTTGCTCCTAATCGCAGTCTGATTCATTCATCCTCCCCTTCAGGTTTCTAAGCAAACACTCTCACAAGCAGAACAGAAACGCTACCTTTGGGTTTCAGTATTTTTTTTTTCTCTCGTATATCTTAACATATTCATCAGTTTTTAAGGCAAGCCCCCCCTTCCCCAACACAAGCACACACACATGGTACCCTTGAACATGCCAGAGACAGATAGGGCCAAATTTATGGATTTATTGTGCTAAAATTCCTGTCACAAAACCGTTTCCATATGGCTCCTCTTCTGCTCGGAGATTTTATATGCTGTGTATAAAGTGTAAGTAAATCCTGCTGTTCAACTTGCTTCCAACTCATGCTGTGTGCAACGAGTGCTTGGCCTTTGGGTTTGGCCTCCCCGAGTCCTGCCCTCCACAGAGACTGCACACCCTGCGCTTCATCGAGCCATGTCCTGTCCCTGAGATTGTCCGAACGGGTGGGAAAAGGGGGGCGTTAGTGGGCACAGGACATTAGAGACCTTCCTCCTCAGTTCTCCACCTTCCTCCTTGGTTCTCCAGCCTGTTTCCAAACCTCTTGCGACTCCTCCACTCTCCAGCACGCAAGATGTCCTTGGCCAAGCCAGTTGGGCATGCGGACCCCTGCATAAAACTTTTTGGGTGGTTTTTATGGTGGTGTGGTGGGACAGAGGTTGGATTGGCAGGGTCTGAGTATGGCGATGCCCGGTCGGATGGGAGTTGTGCCATGGGCGATCACGGAAGCAGTACAAACCTTCGCGTGCCGCTCTGCGCTCTGGCTCAGCCTAGCAGCAAAACGAGCAGCCTCAGTCCCCTAATTAGTGAGGTTTTGCCACCGCGCCGGCAGCTGTGACTCTTCGCTCCCTCGCATCGTGGGGCTGATGAGGGTCAGCCACCCACTGAAGGCAGCAGTTCGTCACCAGCCATTAATTACTGAACAGTGGAGAAAGGGGCAAGGTCAGCTTCGTTGGCAGGGGAGACCTTGTCTGGAGTTCACGTGTGTGTCTGGTTACCTGTGGTTTAGGGTGGTGTAAATCCAAATGTAATAGCGCAGCCTCCCAGGAGGACAGCTGTGGTCAGTGGAAGGAGAATCTGTCTCACATGGGGAGCTCAGCTGGCAAAATGAAGAGCAAGTGAGATGTTTTTCTCCCATAAATACCTTAGTGAATAAACACCTGGGAGAAAAAAGTGCTAGTTAAGGTGATGGACAAGATTTGTACGGGAACAAATGAGCATAAAGTGGGCATGAATACATTTGTGTTGGCAATTAAAGGTGTTTTAAGTAGAAAAGGTGGGAGGAGGTGAGCGTGGCTGCTTTTAATTTCCAGCCAGAGAGGACGGCTGCTGTAGTGCTGGTTTCGACAGAGAAGCTACAGCGTCAAGAGGGTATTTGCTACAGCAGGCATAGCCGTGCTGAAGGTGTGAGGTCCTCCTTGCTGACTGCTTGAGAGCTAATGCCGCAGCTCGTAGCCTTGGAAGGCCATGCAGAAACACCCAAGCCTAGCAGGGTGGTGCAGCCTTCAGCACGGGGGCAAAGCGATGCGATGGAGTGGTGCGGCAGCAGACAAAGTGGTGAGGCAGCTGCTCCAGGGGTGAGGCATGTATGGATGCGGTCAGCAGTGGCTGTGATACTTGTGTAAGAGGATGTGTGAGATGTCTGCTAGAGTGAATTTCTTGTTGGGTTATCTGAGGATGGTAAGAACAAATATCTTTCTCAATCCACTTTGAGTTTCCCTTCTACACATCAATGCTATTTCCACTCTTAATCTTTCCTGCCATGGAAGGAGATTTTACTCCTTATCACTTTATATTTTTTCCAATGTAAATTCATTGTGGCTGTGAGCAAGAAAATTAACTTGGTAAGGCCCAATTCTCTTTCTTGAGGAGGTCATGGCAGATAGGACTGGAGAACTGTTCTTTGTAACCTTACAGTGAAGGTCTGGAAGGTCCACAGCACACACAGAGCCCATACTCACACTTCACCAAGAGCATTGCTGCCATCCCAGGTCAATGCATCACCATGGCTTTTTCAGATGAGGTTCCTAGATGTCCTGGGACATCTAGGAAATGAAACAGTTCCAATAAATTTTTGCTATAGTGTTTAAAGCTTGGAATAGAGCTTCGTAGGATGGAATCTGTTATCCACAGTTGTTGTTAAGTCAAACAATAAGAGCCAAATATGTAGGAAAAAGAACACTAATGAGTTATTTTTAGCTTTTTCTGAAACCTGCCTATAACAGGAAGGAACAGATATGTCAGTGGAAAACAAGTCAATCAGTGGTTGCCTTACATCCTGAAGATCTTTCCTTTACAAACATTTTTATCTTATCTAAGAACTTCCAAGCCTGCTATCTTTATTCAAATTACTATGTTTTACCAACATCTACCCTATAATTTGTTGTTTGCTTGTTGTCATGTCACAGAGTATTACAAGTTTTACTCTATGCTGTAATCATTCTCAAATTAAAGCTTTAGATGCTCTGAAAACCTTTATAATATGCAGGTTTAACAGAAGCCGTTTGATAGTGATTTCATTTAATTTACCAAATAGAAAAAGATTCAGCAAATAATTCAATATTTCATATTGGCAAGGAACCAGTTCTTGCTTTAAGCTAAATCCTTTGTAGCCTGAAAATTGTCGAACTGCAGAGCCAAGTTGTCAGCCTTGAAAGTGTCACGTAGGATGAAGTGCTGCTGTCCCTTGGAAAACTATTTGCAACCTATTGTGTTGAAAGTCCAACAGCAAATTTTGCTTCTACGTCCTTAACAGTGATTTATTTATTTATTTATTCGTTTCTTTAAAACTGTCAAGTCAAACTCAGCCTGCAGTCTTGAACGGTTATGTTCTTGAGATGGCAGGAGGAAATGAGGGGATTTGAAGGTGTTCTGGGGCAACATCCTCCTTTGCAAAACAGTGGCACAAAGTGCTGCTGGCTGCAAAGAAAAATGAAAATTGGAGGAAATTTAAAAAACCCACCCCATGTTTAAATGTATCTATATCTGTGCATGTGGTTAGCTGCTGGCAGTGCAAAGCAGCAAGGTCTAGAGGAAAAAACCTTCAACCTTTCCCCAGGGTTACTGAAACCCTGACTCCACTGCCAGTGCTGTTGAACTGATGTTGACTGTCTTCCTGGTGCCCTGATATAAGTTGACTTGTAGAAAGCTCAGGATGGCCAGTGAAGGAGACATCAGGCTGGAGGCGAGTGAGGAATACCAGTCAAATGTCTCAAATCAGACAATAACTAGTGAACTGCTAAAACTGAATTAGAGCTTGAATTGTAAGGAAATAGGCTTAACTTTGGAAAAGCTTTATTTGGAAATAAACAGAATTCTAGAGGACACATTTTCAAAAGTGTCCTCTAAATTTGCCTACGTGATGTTATTCACCAGCATGTTAGTGTAACTAGTTATGTTAGTGTAACTCCAAACAGAAACCTCAACCTTGTGCAGTGTCAGATTTTGGTACAAAAACTCTGGCTCTTAACCCAAATCAGACCTGCCCAAACAGTCCCAATAGGTCTAGTTTTGTGAGCGCGAAGTCTTTATTTGGGCAAGTACATCAGCATGCTTCCAGCTGATATGTGTTCATAAACCCCAGTGAAATCTTAGAGGTGGAGACTTCTGCAGACATTTTATAGTGTTTCTGAGTACATGCCGCTTAACGCAGCTTATCCTTGCAATGGTATGTTATTCAAAAAAAGAAAAAAAATCTTGATGTACAACATGAATGGCATATGTTTTTAGACTGAAGGAGATGTTTTGGGGCTCTTCAGCAATTATTTCCTCTATAGACCTTTAAATGCACATTGTTCCATGGTGAACTCCACCCTGGTACGTGTTTATGGGTTCACACATATTGGAGTGCTAATTGCTATTGTTTAGAGCAACTCTTGAAATCTGTTCAGTTACAGCAAAATAAGGATAAAGTGCACTTTCCTTGTCCTACTTCCAAAGTGTGATACAAGCCCAGTTTCCCGCTGTTTAAAGCGTTGTTGCTGCTCGATGAAAAATGCTCTCCAGCAACAGAGAAAATAACATACAGAAAAGCAATAGCTTTACTATACGCCAAATTCTGTCAATTTTTTTTTTTTCTCCAGTTTAATCTCTTCCAGCTACAGTAATATTCCTTGTTAGTTGTAACGATGGCAGGTAAGACCATTTTCAGACAAAAACGTGATCTTTAAGTTGACAGTGTGCTCTAATTGGTTTCAGTGATAAACCCCTGCACAAGTGGGAATGGAGGATGCTCACAAATCTGTCGAAATGAGAGAGGAATTGCAAAATGCGAGTGTCATCCAGGACGTTATCTTTCTACAGACAAAAAGTCCTGTTTAGGTAAGAAACTATGGACTGTTTATTGGGAAGAAAGGTATTATTCAGCACTCTGGCTCACTGAGCTTTGAATGGAAAGGAATATGTGATACAAATATACATATGCATTTTGAAACAGCAGTTCTCTCCGTGATATTTATGTCAGCCAATAGTCTTGAAGGAACCATTTTAGTAATGAAAATGACTCTACGATCTCTTAAATGATACTTTCTAGCAACTGGATTTGTAGATGCTGTGGTGTTATTCTTGTAGGGTCCCTTTAAAATAATGTCCCAGTTACAGCTCTTGGAAAATTGGTTCAAGTAACACTCTGAACCAGGTCACTGAAAACCTATTTAGAATTCAAAGGGCTTTTTAGCTGGAGAACTGTTTCCATATTAATAGAGAAACTACTGTGAAGGAAGAAATCATGAAGTGTAAGATTTCCAAAGAGGGTAGCTTAAAAAGTTGGATTCCAAAGTCCTGTATTTAGTCTAGGGTTTTAAGAAAGATCTAAAGCATTTCTGACCCGAATTGTAGAGGAATTAGAGACCAAAATACCTGCTTTTCTCTTTTAATGAGATGCTTGGAACGTAGGTAGTTTATCAGTTCTATGAAGTAAAAAGCACTTATGGACTTCATGGTGCATGGATTTTTAGCAGCCTTGTCAGGATCAGGGTACGTATTCACACACTAATTTTAAACTCCTCCTTTTGAAAACTTGGCCAAAATTTTGCCAATACTTAAATTGTTATCTTACATACAGAGGGTGCTGGGTGCTTTGCAAATTCCTTACGTCCTACCTGAAGTATTTTACACAGTTGCCTGTAAACCCTTCTGCAGGTAACACACCTCAGTGATTCCCCGGGGTCTCTTACTGGCATTACTCATACGAGTAAGATTACTGAAAAAGCAAAACAGTTTCAAGTAGTGTAGACACTTCATTGATGATTAATAGATGGAAACAGCAGTGGGTTTAATTCTAGGGTCAGCGAGTTGCTCATTTTATCTCGGATACGCGTTGACAATTCTGTTAATTTATGTATATACTAAGGCACTAGGTAACTCACAATGTTAAAAATTGGAACAAATTTACTTCCTAACCTCATGGCAACAGTCTTTTGAATCACTGTGTCATGTCTTACCATGGATATACAATTATTGTTGGGGTTTTTTCTCCTGGAAATTATTCAACGTCTTTTGCAACATTCGGGCTGGTGTTTGGCTTTTTGGAATCTGAGCTAAGAGGAGACAGAGGGCAACTAAAGTGTCATACTTTAGCTATTAGCTGTATTTCCAAGATATGGAGAAACACGTGCAGGATGGTAGCTGTGGCTCAGTTTTCCAACTTTTTTATTTTTCTATTTGAAAAAGCAGAAAAAGAGAAAAGAACATTTGCAGCATTTGCCAACATACTCTACTTGCAAAGTGACAATTGTTACAGAAAAAGGAGAAATAACCCATTTTATTCTAAACAGCAGCTACTCACATTGCTGCTCCAGAGCAGCTGTCATTTATCCTGAAATTTTCATGAGTCGGTGTGTGGTATTTGCACTGCCTGGGGCCTCTTTTTGCAAGTAGGCTGATTGCATCCGTAAAGCTCCTTGTGTTCAAGTGCGAGAGGCCACGAGTACGGCACTGGTTAAAGCAGGAAAAAAAAACATGTTTGAAAGTGGTTTGCTGTGGTAAAAGGTGAGGAGCTGCATACTGGACTGTCCTCTCCGGTGTGCAGAAGACTGACCCAGGATCGTTGCGATGAATAATCTGTATTTTGCAAGCGAAGCGTCAGAACAAGAGAAGGAGCAGGAGGTCGGTTGGGGGTTTGCCATGTGCAAGATGATGCCAGTCTTTGCAGGGAGGCTGGTGTTTTCTGCAGCTCTGCTCCACAGCAGCACTATTTAGCGTAAGCTTTTCTTGGTATGGTTTCTTTTTTTCCCCCCAATTATTCCTTATTTTCTTGCTCCTCCACTAAATTTTTAGGAAGATGAGTGGCTTTGGTGACATTGAACTCCAAAATACAGACTAGTGAGTGTAAAGCTGAGGAGCAGACTGTTTGACAGAGGACTGGGTGAAGATCAGTATCCTCACCTACAGCTCTTCACCCTTTTTTCTTTTCTTATGGGGGAGGTGAAGCTCCTCTGATTACAGCAGGTGCCTCCACGCTGGACTTCTGCAGAAGAAGTTGCAGGATTCAGGGATGGGACAGAGAGGATCTGTTTCCATTGTACCTGTTGAGACCCAGCCACTGCTTTTTTCTAATAATTTGAAAATCAGGAAATAATCAGATATTTCCTGCACCATTAATTTAAATATCATGACTGTGAGGACCTAGTGATAATTTTAGTGTACTGGGAGACAGGACGTTTTTTCTGAGTTTTTCATGTGGCTTCTTTTGCTGTTGGTCTTGTTATAGGAATAATAAACAGGCTACTTTGGCTGATACTGTAAATATGATGTCTGATATTGTAAATATTCATGTTGAAAGGTTCAAGGTCAGCAGTGTTTGGAAAAACAGATTATTTTGGAGAATAATGTTGTGAGTTCAGTGTTCCTACATTCATCAGATGCTGTCGTTTGTAGAGTAACATCAGGATGCTCTTTTCAGTGTGTATTTGGAAATACACCTGTGTGCATGTAGAGCAGTATTATTTTTTTATTTTAATATGCAAATGAATGTCCGTGCCTTTCTCTCTGTTTCATAGACATTGATGAGTGTGCAGAAGGGAGAGCAAGGTGTGCTCATCGTTGTGTGAACACTCTGGGATCCTTCACCTGTGTCTGTAATCCCGGCTTCGAGCTGGGGGCTGATGGAAAGCAGTGCTACCGTAAGTGACGCTTTTACAGCTGTGCATTTCAGGCTATCTTATCTGCAAACTGCCACGCTTCATTTTTAATTTGGTTGGATTAGCACTCCCAGCAAAATAAATGTATGCAAAAGCTCAAGCTTAATGCTATTTTCTTCATCTGCTGCTGCTGGTTTTGCAAATTGATACATTCCTAAGCCTGTGTTCACAGACTTTCATTACCGCATTTCAAAGAGCCAATAGCCCTATTGGTTTATCTTCAGAGTCTGGTGAATTCTGTAGCAGGGCTACCAAAAATATTGCTATTCTATGAAACATATTAATTCCTGCCCTCCTTCTCCCAGTTTTCTTATATGCTGGGATCTGATGCAAGAGAAAACCAACACGATACGTTCTGCTCTTGTCTTTCTCTGTCTAGGTTTACTTATATTTCTCCTGAGATTATTGGCACTATTAAGTACATGCTTTAAGAAAAGGGAAAAAAGAAAGATTAGAGATGAAAAAAATATTTGTACGACTAAAATTTCCCAAACTAAAACGATGCTGAGCCTTGTTGTCTTCCCTCACATACTTACCTTTTGCCAGCAGGGTTTCTTTATCAACACTGCTTTTTTTTAAGAAGGGGACTGACTCCCAGCGCTGTTAGTTGATAGGTGATCCCTGGGCAGTCCTTGAGGGCAAATTTAGATTAATAAAGGAGGTGATGTGGAAGAGTTGGTGTTATTATGGGCCTAACGTAAGCTCACTGGAATGCAGACAAAAGCATGACCTGTTTTAGCAAAGAGGTGGGCAAGGATCCTTCAATCTAATAATACTGTGCAAGAACTTTCAGCAGAATTTCCTTAGGCAAATATGCTGCATGCCAGAGAATGAATGCTTTCTTTAAGAATGTGTGTGTAAAAAAAAATACTTAATAAGGATGAAAATCAGTTTCAAAGCATTAACATACATTAAAAACAAAAACCAATTATGTGAGAGACATCCTGGGGAATTATTTCATAGGTGATGGGGAGCTGTAAGTAGTGCTATGGCGGAGGAAATCCAATTAACATATAGACACGAAAAGATCTGTTATGTGGATAAAAAAGTGGTTTAGACCACTTAGATTTCATTGTGATTTTCTGATAATAATTTTTCTGGGCGTTCAGCAAATCTCAGGGGATGGCGATTCTCTGTGCCTTATGTACAGTATTACGGAGCAAACAATAAAAATAAAAACAGTCTGCATATATTTATGGTTGGGATTATCTCAGTGTTTGAGCAATTTGCAATCTTTGTTTATTCTCTCATTTCCCCAGTGGCGTGGGGAAGAGCTGTTATTCCAGTTTTACTGATGAAGAACTGAGACAAAGTAAATAATGGAGATAGTGTATAAAGTCAGATTCCACATTTGATCGCTGGGTTTCCTAAATCCCAGCTTAACACACTGGGCACGTTGTTCCCTGGGGGCACAAAAAGGGATCAGAGCCACCCACACAGATGTGTCCGTGAGTTGTGGCAGTGGGGAAAGGCCGTCCTTCTGCACCAGCTCTGATGGCCACCGCTCTGTTTCTGGAAGTACGAATGGCTCCCTTCAGGGAGGGTGTTTCTCAGTTCTCTTACATAGGATGGGAAGTTAATTTCTCTCTAAATAGCTCTGTAACAAGACAACCTAGCTAATTCTTCAAGAGAAACTTTATAACTGATCTTCTATTTTCTTTCTATCCTGAAAAAATTGTTTATTGAAGTATCTTGGTGGGAAAGAGATGGACAGATGTTCCTTTATGAGGGTTTCTACTGGACCTGGCCAAAATATTGTGAGGACTGTCCATCACAGCCGAGCATGGGAGGGTGGGGTGGTCTGTCGGGGAGAAGGGGGCTGGCGATGACATCATACCGCCACCCTGTCTTAATTGTAGGGGGACAAAGTCTCAGAGGAGCTGCCACGTTCCCCCTCGAAGGGATATCCACGGGTCAAAACCTGCGGATTGTTTTCCTTTGTGATTAGGTGTCAGGCTCAGCAACAGGACTCCACTATGAAAATTTTAAGGCATTTGTGTTCGGTGGGTGTTTCAGAAC